ACACACACACACACACACACACACAGCAATGCCTGTAGCTCACAAGCTGAAATTATTATGACACCAGAACGTTTCCCAAAAACTAACCCTTCAAGGACATCGTTTTAACTCAGCCATTTCACCTGACCTGGTAACACTTAACAGATTGACCGCAACCACACAGACATTCACAATTCCATGGCTAGTTTAACGTTCACTTGTGACTTTTTGGTTGTTGTTGGTCTACGTCATGGTGAACATACTCAATCGTCATCACCTCTCTCGCTCACCATCATTCAAATGCCAAACCATTACACTGACAGAACTCTGGATCATTTCCTGTCATCTCTGGTGTTCTCTCAATTGAGTTAACACAAATGTAAAACCAAAGTTTATGAAAAGATTTTTCATTTACATCCAACTTTGATTAAACCATCATTGTATGGATACCCACATGCAATTTCATAACGTAAAAGAATAAGGCAATGACTTGCTACAGCGTAGCACTGCAACTAGCCTAGTATCCTGGTATTACTGATTGCTATGCTACAATCCAGCCTTGCCACCATTAGTGCTCTGCATGTGACTGTAATACTGAACTGTGACCAGTCCACTGCCGCAGTCTTGTAAAACAATTTAAGCATTCCACCTACAGTAATGACCATAGCACTCTGCTCTTGCATTCGCTAGTGCAGGGCTACGCTGAACCTATGAAACAGTGCAGCAGCCGACTGGGCAAGTGCCGATGGTACTGTAGATTAATTAACTAATGATAGCATCTCCTGGTGGGGCTCCTCAGTGTAATGGGCCAACTGTAGATGGGTTTGTTTGTTCTTGAGTGAGGAGGACCATGCAGTTCCTAGAGGGACTTAACATTAGTTCCATTGAGTGAGTCGACCATCTGCCCACCATTAACCCCAGAACCCTCCTTCTCTTTACAGGCTGGACAATTTGCTTAATATGGCCTATGGCGTAAAGAGGTAATTAAAAACTTCACCCAATGCCAGATGTCCATGTTGACTCAATCCTTTTTTTCTTCTTTTTCTTTTTTTAGTTTATGTTTCGTTGTATTTTTGCAGTCACTTTGCGTTGAACAATTCGTTAAAGGTCAGCTGCATCTTTGGTTGTTTGATTTGTTTGGTTTTTTTTCCTCGTAAGCTTGAGTTGGTTTTAAAACCCCACCAACAGTGTAAAAAAAGCAGAAAACAACCAGTCTTTGTTTTCAGTGGTGATGAATTTGCTTTGTTTTGATATGAAAAGTGCTGGTGTTTTTTTCCGTGTACTGAATGGATTTTGTTCTCTGGTGTACAACTCCTGATTTCTAGGTGTGTTGTTTTCTACCGGATTCAGGTTCTCCTGCCTTGTCACTCCACAGCTACAGTCTGTCTTTCAAAGCAACATTTTAAATGTGTCACATTCATTTTGTGCATATTTCCTCACTATGTCATAAGACTAAGACATCTGTACATCCACTATTAGCCATGTGTGATAGACCTACATTTGTACAGTGGAAGTCAGAACAAAAGTACACATTGCCCTAATTTTGTGGCAGCACGAGCTGAGATTAGCTTTGACTTGGACTTTGGATGAGGCTGGATGAACCTGGATCCCTGCTGGAAACAGGAAATGCTGTTTCACTGCAGACAGCTCCAGCTTTGGCTCTGCTCTGCTCGAACTCCTTCCTATCGCCTTCATGTTTCATTTTGCTTTTCTTGCTAACATAGGTGTAACATTATCCAGAGCAGCAGTCACTGTGGTGATAGATGTTTCATGCGTTTACAGTGGCATCCTGCATGTTGCTCAAACACAGAGTTTTAGTGAGAAATGTTCTCTTGTTTTTGAAATACAGGACTTCAGAATATAGGTACAGATTAATAGTGACGTATTTTTAACATTCACAGGTCTTTAAATACTTTTGTGCCAGTGAAAATGTCTGATTCATCAGACCGGATTGTCATTGAGTTAGAGGTGCTTTTCAGTAGTCTGAGGTTATATAGGAACAGAAAGAGAAGACGGTTGTTAAGAGCCAAGAAATGGTTGAATTTAGAAAGGACAGTATACATGTCTGGTCAGCTACACTGTTGCTATGCAACCCCTGGTCTGTAACATTGGTTAGCGTATGGTCCCACTCTGATGGCTAGGCTCACATAGTCTACACACACTCACTCACACAAACACATACAAAAATGGGCACTCATCCTCAGTGGCAGTGTTAGCTAACCTCCAAACACTCACAAACATCCTCACATCGATTGTTTGCATACAAATCGAGGCCAGTAGGAGCGGCCTGAACAAAGTCCAGCGTGTCAAACGAGGCCTCACCTAGATGAGGTCTGTAAAGATTCCTCCTGTTTGATGCTAGAGAAAATATTGAAATCTTCTACAGACAACAAGGCCACATAAATATGTGGGAAAAATATAAAACTCTTCTATCTCAGTCGTGTACATCCATCAGCCACGACATTAAAACAAGTGACTATTTTATAACTAATATTCTAGAGACTAGTTCTAGATTGGTCTGTGGGCTGTTTCAAAACAGTTAATTCTGAACCATCAGTGACAAGACCCAACACTTATTTTTCAGTTTCAATTATTTTCCATGTCTTTATGGGCTAAGCACCTCAATAAGCTTCAGCATCAAAAGCAGTTATTTTTAAAGTTGTGGCTGATTGGTTTAATCATACCAATAAATGTACACTACTATAATCTATTTCTCTTGTACTCCTACGGTACTTATAATCAAAAGGTCTGATTGGACCAGAGAACCCTTTAAAGTAAATGAGATGACCACCCTGGGAGTTTGCATTAGAGTCCACAGAAACCACAAAAGCCAGAAGCAGACTCTGCATGACCAAAGTCATGCAGGAAGGTCGTAGTAATTGCCGTACATTGCTGTTTATGGTTGCAGGAGAGAGAGAGGGGTGGGGGCTCCCAATAGCAAGCTGTGCAATCGATCAGTGCCATGAGCTCTGGAGTAGACCAGAACAGAAGACCCTGCAGACTGCAGGAAGAGTGGGAGGAATACACTTTGTACCTTAATGCCACTGGGCTGTAAAGTGCTTACATTTTCCCCTTTAGTCGGTTCCATCTTACCTCCCTCCCCCTTTTTCTTAAGAAAGCTGCCTTTTTCAAGGAATCTGCAGCAAAGCGGAAATCTCAATTAAAGCACACCTAATAATGCCTGTCGCCATTTCTTGGAGGGAGGTGGCATAAAAAATGAACCTTTTTTATCTCATTTACCTTTTATTTAAAACTGGAGGGATTTTTTTTCTACTTCCCCTTTCCTTTGAGCGGAAAGGCAATTAAGTGAAGTCAACTGAGGATTCAAATCTCTTGCATCACAAGAAAAGGGGAGACGATTATGAGGCGAAAGAGAACAGATTTAGCAGGGTGGTGCATGATCTTTGATGAATTTCTAGCAGTGGTTTAATTCAACAACTTCCTGCAATTTAGCTCCTGAAGGAGCCACTCAAGGACACAAAGACAGAACCTTCATCTGCATCTCCTTCAGCAGAGATATAGTTACGCTATAGATACGCTGTGCTGTCGTCACTACAGGCCTTTCAGGATTTAGGAGCTCAGGAGGATTTGAGTGGTACAGCAGACTTGCATACAAACCCATGCATTAAGAACATACATGCACACACAATACAAACTCATGAGTATGCATCCAAATTTCTGTGTTATTTTGTGTTGGAGATTAGTGACTTTCTGATTTTAAATATAGCTGATGAAGCCCTCAAGGCTTGTAATTTGATATGGTTGTAGATAGTAGTGTTATGCAGGTGATGGTAAGCTTTTATATTTGGAAGGAGAATTCAGTTTTACAATTTGGTTTTAAAAATGTAAATATTTGTGAGGTAAAGATGTAGAGGTTGTCTGTGGCCATTTCATGTGCACTAGACATAAACACTGAGTTGCCTTAACCTGTTCAATTAAAATGTGCCTTCTTCTCCCTTTTCTTTCTGCTCTCCCTCCAATTCCCCACTCTGCCTCTTCTCCTAGGTTCTCTCCCATCACCATTGACAGCATGACCAGCCTGGTAGGCATGAACATCCCTGGGCACACCGGCACCGGTTGGTGCATCTTTGTGTACAACCTGTCCCCGGATTCTGACGAGAGCGTGCTCTGGCAGCTGTTTGGGCCGTTTGGCGCCGTCAACAACGTCAAGGTGATCCGTGACTTCAACACCAACAAGTGCAAAGGCTTTGGCTTTGTCACCATGACGAATTACGACGAGGCGGCCATGGCCATCGCCAGTCTCAACGGCTACAGGTTGGGCGACCGTGTCTTGCAAGTCTCCTTCAAGACTAACAAGACACACAAGTCCTGAACTTAGACACGAAGAAGCAGTTTCCCCGCGACTCTGTCTGCTCCAAAATTGCCCCCAACCTCCCCCCTCACCTCCACCTGTCCCTTAGCCCCTTCAGTCACGACCACTACCACCCAACAACAGCCATCCAACACACCGGAACACAAAGCAACCAACAAACCATCAAACAAATTGAACTAGAAATGGCTTATATTATAACTTTGGACCTATAAGCCAATGTTGCCTAAGTATTACAAAAATGAAATGATGAAAATGTTCATACGTTTTTGGAAGCTCCTGTGATAATGCAGGCTTCTCTTTGTTGTATATTCTTTCTGTTTGTTGTGGTTGTTAAATGATTTCTCTCTTCTGTGTAAACAGTAGCAAATCCCTGTATTCCCTTATTTCAGAGAAGAGAATGTCCTTTTTAGATTGAAACCTTTTCTCTGTCTTGATTCAGGATTTGTTTTCTTTTTGTAAATCCGGATCCACTGTCGTTAGTATTATATACCTCCCTGTCAGTGAAAGGGAGGGGGCTCTTTTTTAAATTGGTGAACCATTCATTCATTTTTAGTGTGTATTAAAAACTTCCCCAAATTGATTCTAGATGGGACTCCACAGTCTCAGTAACTCTTATGTAGAAAAAAAAAGAATTTCTAACATTGTTTTTGTTTTGTATCGCAAACAAAACATAATGTCTTTCCTCACAGGGGTTCAGGTAGATTGGGTGAGGGAGGGGATGGGTTAGCTTTCCTGATGACACGTTCAGTAATTTAAGAAAAAAAAAATAACACTGTTGCCAAAGAGAAGATCTCTTTGCTTGAAAAAATGCGTTTAGAAAAAGATAAAAATAAAGAGAAAGAAGATCTATTTTTATAAATGATAATTAAAATAATAATTATTGAAGAATTTTTACAAGAATCTGGATTTGAAAAAAGAGAAAAATATTTTGACTGGCTAACTAGGGGGGGCCGGGGCGGGAGGGAGGGGGCACCACCTTGTCTTGTCGTTCTGCCGTGGTACTTTATAGGATCAGAGGTCGTTTGTCTTTTGGGGAATTCAAGTCGGCTGCGATTTTGTAGATGGAAGGTTTTGTGAAAAGGGATGCAATCTGAGGCAGGTGATTTTGGTAATTTTTCACATATGTGCTAGTGCGTTATTATTCAACAGCGATACCCAAAAGGGAAGGGAGAGGGGTCTTTCCGAGGCCTAACCATCCTTTTAGTCCAGAGCCCAAAGCAAGAAGACCCTTAGTCCACTTGTTTTCCTGTTTCCTGTTTTCCTGTTTGTCATCAGTCAATATGGGATATCAGTAAATAGATATATACACATCTATCCATTTAGAGAGCATACTATACATTATCTATATCATTTTCTTCACTCTGCGTTGGTGTACTTACATTTGAAAAGAACTTCCTTTTAGCGATCAACAGTAGGTGCTATACTACATTATTCACATATCTTAAATATCCAAGTTTGTTGTTCTATGTGTTGTTTAAAGAAAAAAAAATACTTAGATGTTGGCATTGAATTGAGCTGCTGTTCTTTGTTTAATATTTGTTTATTGTTGGCCCACGAAAAATCTGGTGAGACTATTTCTTTGCTGAATAACCAGATAAACGACTTAGGGCCTTGTAAGAATCACTGAACAAATTTTATTTTGTAATTTTTTTTTGTTTGGCTTGCTGACTTTTAGGTTTTTTGCTGAGCGTGAAACGTTTGTCAAACTTAATGATGATTAGCTAGTTCTGTTAGTCTAGA